TTCAGTGTCCAACCAAACTATCACATGGTATGAGGGCAGAAAGTGATTTTCAGACATGGAAGGTCTTGGGAAGTTTACCTCCAACTTGGTATGCTTGGGAAGCATACCTGCACATGCTTTTTTGAAAGTGACTTGAGCATGTAGTTCGATAGCATGGCAGAGTAAACCAAGGAGAAGATGACATGGAACCCAGGAAAAGAGGGCTTAAACCCAAGAAAGTGTGAAGAAGACCAGTCCCAAAACAAGAACTGTGTTGAAGTCTCAGGCCAGATTGTAGGAGGATATAGAGCTGTGGAGCAAGGGGAATGGACAGAAGAGATAGCAGGACACAGAACTTGGAGAAACCTGAGAATGAGGTTTAAAAAACCAGTAGAGGATGAAACTAGAGAACACACATGGCCTTGACTCCACTGAGAGGCACAGTGTTTTTGTCATGGGACCCATATAGATGTTAGCAGAATGTGTGTGTTATTGATTTTTTTTTTTTTTTGGATAGAGTTTTGCTATTGCTGCCCAGGCTGGAGTGCAATGGTACGATCTCGGCTCACTGCAATCTCTACCTCCTGGGTTCAAGTGATTCTCCTGCCTCAGCCTCCCAAGAATCTGGGATAACAGGCATGCGCCACCATGCCCAACTAATTTTGTATTTTTAGTAGAGATAGGATTTCACTATGTTGGTCAGTCTGGTCTCGAACTCCTGACCTCAGGTGATCCACGTGCCTCGGCCTCCCAAAGTGCTGGGATTACAGGTGTTAGCCACCATACCTGGCCGATTTTTTTTTGAAATGGGGTCTCGCTCTGTTGCTCAGGCTGGAGTGCAATGGTGCGATCTCGGCTTGCTGCAACCTCTGCCTCCCGGGTTCAAGTGATTCTCCTGCTTTCACCTCCCAAGTAGCCAGGATTACAGGCGCCAGTCACCATGCCTGGCTAATGTTTATATTTTTAGTAGAGGTGGGGTTTCACCATGTTGGTCAGGTTGGTTTTCAACTCCTGACCTCAGGTGATTCATCCGCCTTGACCCTCCGAAGTGCTGGGATTACAGGTGTGAGCCACTGTGCCCCGCCAGAATGTGTATGTTAATCTTTAAACAGTTCTAATCATGTAAGTGCTGCTTATTGGCTTTAAAACTTTAAACAGACAAATCCCCAAAGATGGAACTGGGGTTGCTGAAGAGAATACAAATATTATCAACCTAGACTATTAATGATTTACTGTTTCTCTCTTGATCCTGTTGCGTGAATTGAAAGGGTGTAATTCTCCTGGAAGAGAAAAGCCTGTCATAACCCTGCATAGTGCTTCTCCCCTGCTCCCACCCACTTGAAGCAGCTCACCCAAGTGAGGACCAGGGAAAGAGCAGCCAACCTGCCACCCAGTCATTTCTCACTCCTCCAGGGAGAGCCGAGAAGTGGCAGCTCTCGGGCCTCCAGCTCCTGCTGGTTCACACAATGAGCTGGGGACCCCAGAACTTCAGGAAGGAGGTGTAATCATATTCCCCGGCCCCTACTTCCATGCCCACATCTCCCAAAAGGCCAGTGGTATGGGTTGTCACTATCAGCACTGCCAGGGGCTGGGGGAACCACTGGTGCCAATGCTGGGGAGAGCCACCAGAAAGCAACAATAGTGTCAACAACCATGTGTCATCTTGGAGTGGTCCGGCTGGGCCCACCTCCTCTGAATGAACATCCATTCACCTCTCTGAGAGCCTCTTGTCACCATCACAGTCATGGCAATCCTCATCAACTGAAGCAGACTACCTTAGCAGATATGCTCAAGAAACCCCACCAGGCTGGGCATGGTGGCTCGCAACTATGATCCCAGCACTTTGGGAGGCTGAGGCGGGAGGATCACTTGAGGTCAGGAGTTCAAAGACCAGCCTGGTCAACATGGTGAAACCTCGTGTCTACTAAAAATACAAAAATTAGCCAGGCATGGTGGTGCACGCCTGTAGTCCCGGCTACTTGGGAGGCTGAGGCAGGAGAATCACCTGAACCCAGGAGGCGGGGTTGTGGTGAGCCTGAGATCATACCACTGCACTCCAGCCTGGATGACATAGCAAGACTCTGTCTCAAAAAAAAAAAAAAGGAACCCCATCAGGAGGGACCTTCTGCACCCACCCATCCTGCTGCTGCCCTCAAAAGGGACCATCCACCTGGAGGGGCCTGCAAACCACTCTGGCTACCCACAGACATCCCTACCACTCCACTCATCCTGCTTGGTGAACCCCTCTGATGCTACTCACCTCAGGCCTTTCTATACCCAGAGCTCAGGGGAAAAGACCTGCTAGTGCACATGTGTGTGTGCGTGGCTGCATGAAATATTTGTGAAAAAGAACTAAGGTGTCAAATTATTTTAATACTACCAAGCTCTCCCCAGGAAAAGGAAGAAGAGAGATAGAAACAAACAAAATCAGAGAACTAGGACCCACTGTAGCAGATATCCTCATGCTGCTGCTCTGGCCAGGAAAGCACGGTCTCCAATCCTCCTTAGGATGGTCACCCTAGTGGGTGTGCCGGGGACAAACTCTCGGCACTGTAGGAACGTACCCACAGCACAGAAAAAGTTTTCTTTGGACCTGGAAGACTTCCCTAGGGCCACGCTCTAACCACGGAGAGGGAGGGGGAAGCTCCTCTCACTCACTTCTACATTCCTATCTCCCTAACAATAGCTGAAATCCCAACACCCTGGCCTTGGGATGTTCATCAATCTCAAACACTATCTAAATAAGACCGAATGCTCTTTTGAACAGCTTTGCAAGAAATGAGGTGAAAGAAGTTTAGGGGAAAATGTTGGTTCATACGTTTATTACAAAAAATAAGCTGGAAATTTAATTCTGACATATTCTGCATGAGACGGGAGGAGGGCATGAAGACTGTGACATGAGTTGCTTTCACAGGTGAGCTGGTAGCGCCACCAGGGCAGTGTCTACCCTCCAGATTAAAAAATAACAGCCATTAGCAGGGCACGGCAGCTCATGCCTATAATCCCAGCACTTTGGGGGGCACCAAGGGAGGTGGATGGCTTGAGTTCAGGAGTTCAAGACCAGCCTGGGCAACATAGTGAAACCCCGTCTCTACTAAAAATACAAAAATTACCTGGGCATGGTGGCAGGCGCCTGTAATCCCAGCTACTTGAAAGACTGAGGTGAGAGGATCACTTGAGCCCAGGAGGTCCAGGCTGCAGTGAGCTATGATCACACCACTGCACTCCAGCCTGGGTGACAGAGTGAGACCCTGTCTCAAAAAAGAAATCAACTTAAAAAAATAAAATAAGGCTGGGCGTGGTAGCTCACACCTGTAATCCCAGCACTTTGGGACATTGAGGCAAGCCAATCACTTGAGGTCAGGAGTTGGAGACCAGCCTGGCCAACACGATGAAACCCCATCTCTACTAAAATACAAAAATTAGTTGGGCGTGGTGGTGCACATCTATAATCCCAGCTACTTGGGAGGTTGAGGCAGGAGAATCATTTGAATCCAGGAGGCGGAGCGTGCAGTGAGCTGAGATTGTGCCACTGCACTCCAGCCTGGGCGACAGAGCAAGATTCTATCTCAAACTAAACTAAACTAAAGTAACAACTATTGCATGTAGAGGGAAGATTTTTTAAATTGGAGGAATAGGACTGATACAGTTTTAATGATTCTATCCTCCAAAACTCATGTTGAAATGTGAATCCCCATGCTGGGAGGTGTTTGGGTCATGCGGGTGGATCCCACATGAATGGCTTGGTGCCCTCCCAGTGGTAATGAGTAATTTCTCACTCTGTTAGTTCACACGAGGGCTGGTTGTTTAAAAGAGCCTGGCATCTCTCTAGCTCCCTCCCTCACCATGTGACGCACCTGCTCCCCCTTTGCCTTCCACCACGATTGGAAGCTTTCTGAAGCCCTCAACAGAAATAGATGCTGATGCCATGCTTCTTGTACAGCTTACAGAACTGTGAGCCAAATAAACCGCTTTTCTTTTTTTTTTTTTTTTTGAGATGGAGTCTCGCACTGTCACCCAGGCTGGAGTGCAGTGGCTCGATCTCAGCTCACTGAAAGCCCCGCCCCCCAGGTTCACGCCATTCTCCTGCCTCAGCATCCCAAGTAGCTGGGACTACAGGCGCCCGCCACCACGCCTGGCTAATTTTTTTGTATTTTTAGTAGAGACGGGGCTTCACCGTGTTAGCCAGGATGGTCTCGATCTCCTGACCTTGTGATCCGCCTGCCTCGGCCTCCCAAAGTGCTGGAATTACAGGCATGAGTCGCCATGCCCAGCACCTCTTTATAATTACCCAGCCTCAGATATTCCTTTAGAGCAATGCAAAACAAACTAATACAGGGACCAAACTAGTCTCTATGGTTCTTTTACCGCGGTCTGATTACAGGGTTCATAAACTTTCTTCATTAGGAACGATGGTAACGTCAGAATTTTATATCATAAACATTAAGTTTCCAACCAGTGAAACTTCAAGTAGTTCATAACAAACTCATCTCATCATAGCAAAGTATTTTATCAGCCTTTATTTCCTATAGATATTTTATAATTTAGCAGTATAGTAATACTTTTAAGTTGGCATTTGTTAGCATTTAATTTTAAGCATTTTTAAAGTTTTTGTCATCACTGACTGAAGTCATGACAAATCAAGAAGGTAATAAAATCTCTATTAAATCACTGCTGTATTTACTGTGATTAATATAGCCTGATCTTAATAGTGAAATGTTTAGGAACAGTTTCTCAGGTGTGAAAGACTTTAAAATTTTGCTCTTTCTGGACCGAAGAATAGTAGAGATTTGATCAAGTAAATGTGCCTATAAAGGATAACTTCTTTTTTTTACCAAGATTATACAATTTCTATTTATGTTTAAAATCAAATATGATAACCGTATCAATTATACATTAAGAAAGCCATATTTAGGAACCAACTCATTATTCTGAAACCTGGTAAATGAAGGGAAAGAATGAAACATATATTCTATCTCTGCTTTATGAGCTGACTGTTAAACCCACAAAATTGCACCTACCTCTAGCCAAAAGGAGTCCAATAAGGCCAGCAAAACCAATAACACCAAGTCTTGGAAAAAATCCAGGAGGTGCATTTTGGAGATAATCATAGCTGTCTACAATAGAATTAGACCAGGAAGCAGTTCCATAAATTTCTCATTAAAAAACAAAACAAAAAGTCTTATACAGTATATAATATGTATATACAATATCAAGGGCTTTTCAAATCACATATTCTCTGCATTCTGCTACTGTACTTCTTTTCAACATATTCTTTTTATATAACATATAAACAAGATTTACTATTCACATAACAAGTGTCCAATTTTCTTTTCTTTCTTTTTTTTTTTTTTGAGATGCAGTTTTGCTCTTGTTGCCCAGGCTGGAGTGCAATGGTATGATCTCAGCTCACAGCAACCTCTGCCTCCCGAGTTCAAGCGATTCTCCTGCCTCAGCCTCGAGTAGCTGGGATTCCAGGCGCCCACCACCTCACCCGGCTAACTTTTGTATTTTTAGTAGAGATGTGCTTTCACCATGTTGGCTAGGCTGGTCTCGAACTCCTGACCTCAGGTAACCCACCCGCCTCAGCTTCCCAAAGTGCTGGGATTACAGGTGTGAGCCACTGCGCCTGCCTGCAAGTGTCCAATTTTCAACTACCTTTGGTCCAACAACTTACTGACAATGAAGTAATGTTAAATTACTTTCATATTCCTGAAAGCAACAGATCTGAATCAGCAATTTGCACAGGGAGGAATACAAACACAGGGATCCTATGCTATTCAAATTCTTGTTATGTAAACACAAAAACAGAATAGATTTGGATAAATCTTTGGATAGATCTATTGCTATCTGAAGCTTTGCTACTTGCTCTCTGAAACTCAGGAACCAAAAACAAGCTGTGAGTGGTGGCTCATCCCTATAAGCTCAACACTTTTCAAGGGTAAGGCAGAAGAATCACTTGAGTCCAGGAGTTCAAGGCTGCAGTGAGCTAGGTCCGCACCACTGTACTCCAGCCTGACAGCCTGAGCCACAGAGCAAGACACAGCCTCTTAAAAAAAAAAAAAAAAAAAAAAGGCCAGGCGCGGTGGCTCACTCCTGTAATCCCAGCACTTTGGGAGGCCGAGGGGGGAGGATCACAAGGTCAGGAGTTCGAGACCAGCCTGACCAACATGGTAAAACCCCATCTCTACTAAAAATACAAAAAAATTAGCTGGGCGTGGTAGCACATGCCTGTAATCCCAGCTACTCAGGAGGCTGAGGCAGGAGAATTACTTGAACCCGAGAGGTGGAGGCTGCAGTGAGCCAAGATCATGCCACTGCACTCCAGCCTGGGTGACAGAGTGAGACTCCTCAAAAGAAAAAAAAAAGAAATCAAATATCTTAGACTCAGAAAAATAAGTATCCTTTGCCATCTGAACTCATTATTCAAACTCAAGAACAGAATAAATTTGGATAATAAAGGAAACTTGTAAGTTCACTCAGGAAATAGCCACTGTTGACCACCGCTGATGGTGATAGAATCAATAAAAATAAGTACAACATGTGAACCTATTCATCATGCCTGAACATGCCTTCTGACTTCATTCACATAATGCCTCCTCTCCTTTCCACTGAGCCAATCCCACCTCATAAAAGCCAGCTTGAGTCCTACCTCTACACAAAAGCCTTTCCTAAGCTCATCAGTCCATACCTCTCTCCCTCCTCTAAAGTCCCATCATATTTATTCTCTGTACCATCACTTGGTACCTAATCCTATAGTACCCTGTGTTTAATTATTCAGGTGTGTATCTGGTGTCTCCCCAAGGAGAATGTAAGCTCCATAATGATGGATTGCTTATACTCCTGTGTTATCTTCCTTCAGTGGTAATAACGGATGTTCATTCAATAGATATTTATTAAGAATGATGGCCGGGTGTGGTGGTTCACACCCGTAATCCCAGCACTTTGGGAGGCCAAGGTAGGAGGACTGCTTGAGTCCAGGAGTTCAAGAACAGCCTGGGCAACATGGCAAAACCCTGTCTCTCCAAAAAGTTTTAAAAAAATTAGCCAGGGGTGGTGATGCATGTCTGTGGTCCCAGCTACTTGGGAGGCTGAGGTGGGAGGATTGCTTCAGTCCAGGAGGTCAAGGCTGCAGTGAGCTATGATCATGCCACTACACTACAGCCTAGGTGACTGAGACCCTGTCTCCAAACAACAACAGGCCAGGCGTGGTGGCTCACGCCTGTAATCCCAGCACTTTGGGAGGCTGGTGAGGGTAGATCACAAAGTCAGGAGTTCGAGACCAGCCTGACTAACATGGTGAAACCCCGTCTCTACAGAAAATACAAAAATTAGCCAGGCGTAGTGGCGTGTGCCTGTAATCCCAGCTACCCAGGAGGCTGGGGCAGGAGAATCACTTGAACCTGGGAGGCAGAGGTTGCAGTGAGCCGAGATCATGCCATTGCACTCCAGCCTGAGCAACAGCGCAAGACTCCGTCTCAAAAAAAAAAAAAAAAAAAAAATCACACTGCCAGGAGTTGATAAATACTGGATGAATTAACAAATGATTTTTAGCTAGGTCATGACTTAAACAAAGCCCTTGTCTCCTTCTCAATCTCATCTTCAGCACTCCCTATCTGCTTAGGGTTCCTCAAACATCCAATACCAACTCACACCTCTAAGCCTGATCATGCTGTGACCAGTGCGCAATGTCTGCTTCCAGCAGTCCCATCCCCACCTTTTGGTGTGGCTAACACTGTTCCTTCAAGATTCACTTCAGAAATCCTTCCCTGACTGCTCCCACCTCCTCAATTTCGATTAAACTAATTTCCTTCCTCTGAACCTTCAATAACGGTCTGTGATTATCTCTGTATTTGCACTAGTACTGAATAATGTGTTACATGCATCTCAGTGGTTGTGACCACTGTCTTAACCAATCTCAATTTTCAAGGTCTGGCAGAATGGTGACTTAGAAAATATATGCAGAACTGAAGTAATAAACTGGAAAATTCAGTAATTCTGTCCCCTAAGTAATACCAGATACATGCCAGTTTTCCTTTTCCTGGGTTCTTTGGGAAATGTGATCATTTTAAATACGACTATAGGACTTGTATTATGTTTGCATTAATTACTGTCTGGCCTGTTACTTATTTTGCCTTTAGCCTAGTTTTTACTTTCCATCCTCTAGTCTGGGTCATTTGAGGCAATTTTTTACTTCCCTTTATTTTTGCCTACTAGCCCAGTGTTGCTCAATTCTAGATGTGTACACAGAGCAGTTGACAGAGGGACACCCAGATGGCTGTGGTGAGCTGGGCCAAAGTGGGTAAATCACAAAGAAAGGGGAAAGAAGATATGTTTTAAGACTGCACAGAGTCTGGGCAACAAAGTGAGACCCTGTCTCTACAAAAAAATGGAAAAAATTAGCTGGGTGTGATGGCACATGCCTGTAATCCTAGTTATTCGGGAGGATGAGCTGGGAGGATTGCTTGAGCCCAGGAAGTCGAGGCTGCAGTGAGCTATGATCATATCACTGCATTCCAGCCTAGATGACAGAGTAAGTTCCTGTCTCAGAAAAATTTAAACAAGAGACCTCTCAGCCACACACGTACAGATAAAAGACTATATCAGGAGTTCTCTAATTTCCTCAGATAAAAATGAAGATAATAAGGTATCTGTCAGGTTGTTATGAGGATTAAATTAATATATATATATATATATTTCAAATTTTTGTGGGTACACAGTAGGTATATATATTTACGGAGTAAAGGAGGTATTTTGGTTCAGCCATACAATGCATAATAATCACATCAGGGTAAATGAGGTATCCTTTACCTCAAGTATTTATCATTTTTCTTTGTGTTACAAGCATCCCAATTCTACTCTTTTAGTTTATTTACAATAACTAAAAGAGTATAGCTTTTTTAGTTAAATAAAATGTACAATAAGCCAGGCACGGCGGCTCACACCTGTAATCCCAGCACTTTGGGAGGCCGAGGTGGGTGGATCGCCTGAGGTCAGGAGTTCGATACCAGCCTGACCAATATGGTGAAACCCGTCTCTACTAAAAATACAAAAAATAGGCTGGGCGTGGTGGTGTGCGCCTGTAGTGCTAGCTATTCGGGAGGCTGAGACAGAATTGCTTGAACCTGGGAGGCGGAGGTTGCAGTGAGCCAAGACAGTGCCACTGCACTCCAGCCTGGGCAACAGAGTGAGAATCTGTCTCATAGAAATAAAAAATAATGGCCGGGCGCGGTGGCTCAAGCCTGTAATCCCAGCACTTTGGGAGGCCAAGACGGGCGGATCACTAGGTCAGGAGATCGAGACCATCCTGGCTAACACGGTGAAACCCCGTCTCTACTAAAAAATACAAAAAAAAACTAGCCGGGCGAGGTGGCGGGCGCCTGTAGTCCCAGCTACTCAGGAGGCTGAGACAGGAGAATGGCCCGAACCCGGGAGGCGGAGCTTGCAGTGAGCTGAGATCCGGCCACTGCACTCCAGCCTGGGCGACAGAGCGAGACTCCGTCTCAAAAATAAAATAAAATAAAATAAAAAAATAAAGAAATAAAAAATAATAAAATAATAAAAAATAAAATGTACAATAAAGTATTGTTGACTGCAGTCACCCTACTGTGCTATCAAATACTAAGTATTATTCATTCTAACTATATTTTTGTACTCATTAACCATCCTTACTCCTCCCCCAATAAACTGGAATTTTTAAAGCACTTAGAATAGTACCTGACATTTAAGTATTAAATAAGTGTTTATGAAATTAATAAAATTAAGATGTTACTTATTAACATGCCTTAATAATTTAAAGAACCAGTAGGGGGCCGGGTACAGTGGCTCACACCTATAATCCCAATACTTTGGGCCAAGGTGGGCAGATCACTTGAGGTCAGGAATTTGAGACCAGCCCGGCTAACAAGGTGAAACCCCGTCTCTACTAAAAATACAAAAATTAGCTGGACATGGGGTGCACGCTTGTAATCCCAGCTACTCGGGAAGCTGAGGTGGGAGAATCGCTTGAACCTGAGAGACAAAGGTATTAGTGAGCTGAGATTGTGTCACTGCACTCTAGCCGGAGTGACAGTGAGATTTTGTCTCAAAAAAAAAAAAAAAAAAGAACCAGTAGGCAGCTATTACTATGTCTGTCTTCTAATGATAAATTTATCTGACAGTCTCAGAAATATCAGGACATCAATACACTATGATGATCTTAGCAAAGAAATAAACTGTATTCATGTTTATTTTGTTCTATCATGGAAACAAACCCTTGTAAAAACAAGATTTTGTTTCCGAGATACCAAATAAGGGGAATGAAATACGATCGGCAGCTTTACTAATTCACCAGTCTCTGATGAACATTAGTCAGAACATGGACTGTGAATCCAGTTTGTGAGTATATGTGATAAGTGGCCCACAACTGAAAAACAATCAAGGAAAATAAAACCAAATGAAAAAAAAAAATGTAAGAACACTATCAATTATGCAATAAGACCTTTCACAGGAGTACCAGCTCAGCTCCTTCCTGCTTCAAAACTTCTAGAGCATGTAATTGCAATGCAAATGAACTATTCCGATTCAGAAAATCTATTGATGAATTAGTATGGTGTATTACACTGCACCTGGAAATGAGATTCTTTTTTTTTTTTTAAGCAGTGTATCTGTACTTGCTAGCCCAAGAATCCTAACGATCTGGAAGAGACTTACCTGACTATTTGGGGACACTAGTTGCCTGAAATCTGATGAAAACAACAGTTCCTCTTCCCAGAAAAATCCACATAGCTCTGAAATTCTGCATATACTTTTAAGGAATCCACAGATTTCTTGGAGCTCATTCATGGAACTCCGATTAAAGAGTTCAATGTTAATGAAGTAGCTGATTATGCCTAATTTAAAATCAACTTACCTAACCCCCATTGAACCAAATTTTGCATCTTGGGCTTAGTTTGGGAGTACGTTTCCTAAAAAGGTAAAAAGAAACTGAATGAAACTATTCACAGGATCTGCTGATTAGAAAGTTAACAGAATAAATATACTTGTCTTTACTGAATAAATTATCATGTTATTAACACTTTTTGAACAAAGGGATACACTGTCTATCTGGGTCTTTTTGTTTGTTTTTCCTATTATAATCTTCCCTTCACTGCAAATAACTCAGCAGAATGGCTTATTACTGCCACAGGAAGCAGATTCCAAGCAGAGTGGTTTCAACAATCCAGCCGTTTCACTCTTCCATTAAAATGGAAAAAACAGACTAAAAACCAATCTCCTTGATACTTAACTGGCAAGCTTTTCTCCATGAGATTAAATCTGTCTTTCATATTAACTACTTCCTGATCTGCCATTAATTAGAGCCTACATCTGGAAACTGCCCATTTGAAGCAAGAATGACCAGCTTTAATGAGACAAAGAAGCCTATAGCCCAAAGCAAATGAGGTGTCAACATTCTCTTAAAAACAATAAAAAGGCTTTGTGGCCAGGAATGATGGCTCCCTCCTGTAATCCCAGCACTTTGGGAAGCCAAGTTGGGCAGATCACCTGAGGTCAGGAGTTGGAGACCAGCCTGACAAACATGGTGAAACCCTGTCTCTACTAAAAATACAAAAATTAGCCGGGTGTGGTGGCACGCGCCTCTAGTCCTAGCTACTCAGGAGGCTGAAACAGGAGAGTCACTTGAATCCAGGAAGCGGAGGTTGCAGTGAGCCGAGATGGTGCCACTGCACTCCAGCCTGGGTGACAGAGCGAGACTCTGTCTCCAAAAAAAAAAAAAAAAAAGGCTTTGTACATGAACATCACATGATCCTAAAGAAAACAAGGGGACCGCTAGAAGGTACCCACCTTCAAGAAGTCTACAGTGAAGACAAGAAGAAATACATGGGTATCAGAAGGTATCAAAACTAGTTGCCATTTGGAAAAGGATTTTTTTATTTTTATTTTTATTAATTTTTTTTTTTTTTGAGATAGAGTTTCGCTCTTGTCGCCCAGGCTGGAGTGCAGTGGCGCAATCTCTGCTCACTGCAACCTCCGCTTCCTGGGTTCAAGTGATTGTCCTGCCTCAGCCTCCTGAGTAGCTGCGATTACAGGCGCCCACCACCACACCCAGCTAATTTTTGTATTTTTGGTAGAGACAGAGTTGCACTATGTTGGCCAGGCTGGTCTCCAACTCCTGACCTCAGGTGATCCGCCTGCCTCAGCCTCCCAAAGTGCTGGGATTATAGGCGTGAACCACTGCACCCCGCCTGGAAAAGGATTTGTTTTGTGTGCTTCAGTTCAAGTCAGGACAAGCTATCCTCATTCTTTTAAATGACCTGAAACAATAAATGCCGAATTAGGCAGAAGATCTAAAGAACTGAGTATCACTTCATTAGAATCCATTATTTCACACCTGTAATCCCAGTACTTTGGGAGGCTAAGGCAGGAGTATCTCGTGAGGTCAGGAATTTGAGACCAGCCTGGGCAACAGCAGAGACCCCATCTCTACAAAAAAATAAAAATATTAGCTGGGCATGGTGGTATGTGTCTGTAGTCCGAGCTACTTGAGAGGCTGAGGTGGGCAGATCTCTTGAGCCCAGGAGTTCGAGATCAGCCTGGGCAACACGGTGAAACCTTGTCTCTACTAAAAAAAAAAAAAGAAAAAAGAAAAGAAAGGAAAGGAAAGGAAAAGAAAAGAAAGGAAAGGAAAGGAAAAGAAAAGAAACGAAACCTTCAGATCAATATCTAGAATGATTGCCCACTTCTTTTGATAGCTTAATATTTTTACTATTAAAAAAAATTTAAGGCTGGGCACAGTGGGTCATGCCTGTAATCTCAGCACTTTGGGAGGCCGAGGTGGGTGGATCACAAGGTCAAGAGATCAAGACCATCCTGGCCAACATGGTGAAATCCCGTCTCTACTAAAAATACAAAAATTAGCTGGGTGTAGTGGCACATGCCTGTAGTCCCAGCTACTTGGCAGGCTGAGGCAGGAGAATCACTTGAACCCGGGAGGTAGAGGTTGCAGTGAGCTGAGACTGCGCCACTGCACTCCAGTCTGGCGACAGAGCGAGACTCCGTCCCCAAAAAAAAAAACAAAAAACAAAAACAAACTTAAACTGGTTCTTCAAGAAAAGGGCCAGAAATTCCTGGTCTGAAAAAGGAACCAGGAATTAGAAATATTCCTATTCACGAAGACTTTGTTCTACCCAGGAAAATAAAACCATTATAATTACAAAAGCTATTATAATTACAAGAAAGTTTTTATATTTAGTAGTAGTGGAAATAAACATGTAGATAACTAATCTATCATCCAGAGAGCTATTTTGCTGCACTGAGTATCACGCATGGAAGAAAAGGTAAAAAACAAAAAGCAACCTTAGGCTAAAAGGTACAAAGTACTTTTATTGCCAAAAAAAAAAAAAAAAAGACAGACTACAAATAACAGTAGTCATGCCTACATGATACAAAAATATCCACACACATTTGCTGACTATATCTTAACTACCAGAAGTTTAAAAATCTTTTAGAACAAGAGAATAAAGTCTAGTCATTTTACAACACATTATGTATAAAGTCTTTAGGTATTACTTAACTCAATAATATGGTTATGATACTTAAGTATAACGGCCTAATTTATATTGTTGATAGAGTCCATGCTTACTATTTTCTTTCTAAATTGGTGAACAAAAGTTCAACAGCAGCATAGGCAAAGGAAATTAAAAATTTTTAAACAAGCTCTGGATGAAAATTGAATTTAGGCCAGGCATGGTGGCTCACACCTGTAATCCCAGCACTTGAGGAGGCCAAGGTGGGCAGATCACTTGAGGTCAGGAGTTCAAGATCAGCCTGGCCAACATGGCGAAACCCCATCTCTACTAAAAATACAAAAATTAGCCAGGCATGGTGGCTCGTGCCTATAATCCCAGCTACTCGGGAGGCTGAGGTGGGAGAATTGCTTGAACCCGGGAGGTGGAGGTTGCAGTGAGCCGAGAGCACACTACTGCACTCCAGCCTGGGCAACAGAGCGAGAATCCGTCTCAAAAAACAAACAAAATAAAAAAACAAAAACCAGGCCGGGCGCGGTGGCTCAAGCCTGTAATCCCAGCACTTTGGGAGGCCGAGACGGGCGGATCACGAGGTCAGGAGATCGAGACCATCCTGGCTAACACGGTGAAACCCCGTCTCTACTAAAAAATACAAAAAACTAGCCGGGCGAGGTGGCGGGCGCCTGTAGTCCCAGCTACTCTGGAGGCTGAGGCAGGAGAATGGCGTAAACCCGGGAGGCGGAGCTTGCAGTGAGCTGAGATCCGGCCACTGCACTCCAGCTCGGGTGACAGAGCGAGACTCCGTCTCAAAAAAAAAAAAAAAAAAAAACAAAAAACCTAAAAACCAAAAAGACTAAATTTATAAATCTCAAGCAAGGTAAATCTAGACAATTTCCCACACATCTACATCTATTAATTTTTATTAAATTTGTCCTCAATTTTCAAAATCAGGATCAAGTATAGCAAATATATGTATCAAAGCCTACAAAAGCATTCTATAGATTGTAAACGTTGGTTACTTATGTTAAAAATCACATAAATACTTTTCATTTACGTAATGACAAATGCCTGACCTAAAACCCAGGCAGGGACAGACACCCATCTGTATATGTAGTTCTTTGGTCACTAGGACAAACAATTCAGTAATCTAGTATGGAATTCTACCCTATTTTAGTATCTACCCTCCTATTATGGCATTCAAAATGCCATATCCACTCCTGGTTTAAGTGGCACTGATTTGTATACTGGGGGAGAAAAACTTCGCAATTTTTATGTAAGTGTTTACACTGCATCTTTTTCCTTTGTTTAGAGTTCCAGGCCACAAGCCTCCCCTGGTAGACAACAATGTTTTCATAACTGCAAGCAACAAGGTAGTTCCTAGCCCCTCTGCTCTCTAGTCAAGGTGTTACGCACTGCCCAGGGAGAGGGAAATTCTCTCTGCAGCTGTGGCAACAGCTGTCACCAGGAAGCTAGAGCATCTCTACACCCCCTCCTCAGATGGCACTGAAGAACATCTGTAAGTCAGGCACTTTTAACTTGGAGCCTGTTATTTAAAATTTTTTTGTGGGTATGCAGTAGGTACACACATTTATGGGGTACATGAGATGTGTTGACACAGGCATGCAATGTGAAATAAGCACAATATGGAGAATGGGGAATTCATCCCCTCAAGCATTTATCCTTAGTGTTACAAACAATCCAATTACACTCTTTAAGTTATTTTAAAATGTACAATTAAATTATTGACTGTAGTCACCCTGTTGTGCTATCAAATAGTAGATTTTATTCATTCTTGCTATTTTTTTTTTGCACCCAGTAGCCATCCCCACCTTTCCCCCAGACCCCCACCCACTACCCTTCCCAGCCTCTGTCAGCCATCTCAGGGCCCTTTATCATGCCTTTTTCCAAAAACATGCAGCCAATACAGACTTTTCTCTATTGACTCTAAACAGAAATGCGTTCACTCCATTTTCAGAACAGTTGTACCTGACACCAGGTTGTGTATGGCTCGCAATAGTGTCGGAGCTGTGAGATGCTTTCCTCAAGCTGGCTCCTTGCCTCCTCCACATACTTCGATTGACCCTCGGGAACTGAATAGAGTGAAAGCTGCACACATTAAAACAAAACAAATATTTAAAAGACGTATTTTCTACAGGATAAATTTACCAAATTTGTAAGTATTTAATATAATATTTCTAATAATTCATGAATTACAGTGACTCTGTGGTCGGGTGTGGTGGTTCACGCTTGTAATCCCAGCACTTTGAGAAGCCAAGGCAGGCGGATCACTTAAGGTCAGGAGTTCGAGACCAGCCTGGCCAACATGCCGAAACCCCATCTCTACTAAAAATACAAAACTTAGCCAGGTGTTGCGGTAGGCGCCTGTAAACCCAGCTACTCGAGAGGCTGAGGCAGGATAATCGCTTGAACCTGGGAAGTGGAGGGAGCGGTAAGCCAAGATCTTGCCACTACACTCCAGCCTGGGCGAGAGTGAGACTCCATCTCAAAAATAGTAATAATAACACTTCATGAATTCCAGTGACTCTTAAGGGTTACGAGCAACCTGAACTTTACCTCGAACCATCTCTGCACCTTATTTCCTTAATCAACAAGGCCAAGGCCAAAAGGGCAGGGCTATGAGGTGTCCTACCTTCTCCCCACCCACTGACTGCAAACAAAGCAGCTCCTCTTTATCCATTTTATATACTGGTATTTGGTATTCCACCTTAGATTGAGTTTGGAAAAAGGATTTTATTACTCTAAAGGGTGGGTAAAGGGGTTAAAAAAGCTTGAGAGTAACCAAAGGGCATGTCATTCAGTTCAAATGATTGGTCTGATGTTAATCAAAGCAGGAGAGCAGGTTTGTTCCCCACCCAGAGAACTTCTCACAGCCACGGCTGGCTGCCTTCTTCACCCTCAAAAAATGCCACTGTGCCAAGGCCTGAGAAGAGAGTAAAGGGCAAAAGATAAGCTAATTAGCTTTATGTAAACACCAATCAAGTAACCCTACCCAGGACTGAAGGTAGATCCTTACCTCACTTTATTCAAAGGCAACAGAAACTGAATATCCAAAATAGTTAGTGGGAAGTACAGACCAAAAAGGAATGTAAACAGTAGAGAGAAGATTTCTTGTTTTTTTAAATTTAGTATTTATTAAGTATATACTTATGAGCGTCTCCTCCAGCCAAGAAACAGAAAGGATCCAGATCTCTAATTTCTTAGAGAAGAAAAAATGTGAGTATCTTCTTGGCTTGATAAGAATCAAGATAAGCCAAGAATCAGAGAGACCACTTAGAAAAGTGAGTTGTGCTTATAACCTATCTGGACACAGTGGATTCCCCAGTAAACATTTATAAAGTATTCCTTAATTGTGCCCTTAGCTAAGTATCATTAAAGTTTACCTGTTGAAAAAGCCATAGTTTAATAATTTCCCACAAATTAAACAAACTATAAGGAAATATATTTTCTCCGTTTAAATGTCTTCCGGCTGGGCACGGTGGCTCATGCTTGTAATCCCAGAACTTTGGGAGGCTGAGGCGGGTGGATCACCTGAGGTCGGAAGTTTGAGACTAGCCTGGCCAACATGGTGAAACCTCGTCTCTACTAAAAATACAAAATTAGCCAGGCGTGGTGGCACATGCCTGTAATCCCAGCTACTTGGGAGGCTGAGGCAGGAAAATGGCTTGAACCCAGGAGAAGGAGGTTGCAGTGAGCTGAGATCGCACCATTACACTCCAGCCTGGGCAACAAGAGCGAAACTCTGTCTCTAAATAAATAAATTAATTAATGTCTTTTAAACAGTCACATCTTCCTGATATACAATTTGAAAAAAATTATCCTACAGTAACTAAATCAGACACTCAAAATATATCACAACATGAACAACATGTTACCTCATCAACCTTCACGGAATTTTTGGGAGGTGAGTCCTTTTTTGGTGCTGCATAGACTTTGAAGGTGAGCAAGCTCAGGCTGGCTGGCCCCACGGACCTCTGAATTACCTGAAATGCAGAAGCAATCTTAAACCTTCTATCTTACAAACCGAATGTGAAGAACGTGAGCATATTTATAACCTCAGCCACTCCACACCCTGAAAAGCTTACTGTGCTTTATTTTAATTTATTTTTATGTTTTCGAGATGGAGTCTTGCTCTGTTGCCCAGGCTGGGCTGTAGTGGCATGATCTCAGCTCACTGCAACCTCCACCTCCCAGGTTCAAGCGATTCTCCTACCTTAGCCTCCCAAGTAGCTGGGATTACAGGCGTCTGCCACCACACCCGGCTAATTTTTGTATTTTTAGTAGAGATGGGGTTTCGCCATGTTGGCCAGGCTGGTCTTAAACTCCCGACCTCGGGTAATCCGCCCGCCTCGGCCTCCCAAAGTGCTGGGATTATAGGCGTAAGCCACTGCATCTGGCCTACAAAATATATTTTTTAAAAATCAGCCAGGCATGGTGGTATGTGCCTGTAGTCCCAGCTACTCAGGAGACTGAGGTGGGAGAACTCTTGAGTTTGAGGCTGCAGTAAGCCATGATTATGCCACTACACTACAGCCTGGGCAACAGAGTGAGACTCTGTTTCACACACACAAAATAACTGCTCCAAAAAAAAAAAAAAAAAAAAAAAAATGATGGGCTGAGAGGAGGGGAGAGCTTTGGGTTTATTAATTTAAACTGTAAATATAAAAAATCTGCTCACGCCTGTAATCCCAGCACTTTGGAAGGCAGAGGCAGGTGGATCACCAGGTCAAGCGTTCGAGACCAGCCTGACCAACATAGTGAAATCCCGTCTCTACTAAAAATACAAAAAAAAAAAAAAAAAGAAAAAAAATTTAGCGGGGCATGGTGGCAGGTGCCCATAATCCCAGCTACTCAGAAGGCTGAGGCAGGAGAATCACTTGAACCTGGGAGGTGGAGGTTGCAGTGAACCGAGATTGTGCCACTGCACTCCAGCCTGGGTGACAGTGCCAGACTCCATCTCAAAAAAAAAAAAAAAAAAAAAAATTCGGACCCCTCCTGTGAAGGTCGTGGCAGTTTTCTAGGAGGGATATTGCTCTCCTTAGGTTGTATCCTGGTGCTGCTGGTTCTGCCTAATAACTGTGATGGGCACAAACCACACGAACAAATGTAGCTGGCTAACACGTATTGCAGAAGCAAAAGAAATCTATAGCAAAACTGCCTTGAAATTAAGACCTCAAGCTGCATACTTAATACTTCAAGATGTATCAATTATTTTTAAACCAGTTAAAGTAATAACCACTCTTTTTTTTCTTAATGGCTTTCAGCTCTTTATTTGCTTCTGAAATATGGGAATTTGCAGGCATACATTTCAACAGACATCTTTGTTATATTTTAGCTGGTATTACGCTTTGCATTACAGAACAGCCTCGTCTTTCACATTATAGGCACTGCAAATCTCAGTAATATGATTTCCAAGATACTAAATCATGCCCAAATAGTTAGACAGAAATCAATCACTCATTTATTTTTCACCTCTCCTCCATCCATTTCCTTTGTCTCATTTGAGCAGGAAATAAACAATTATTGAGCATGCCTTGTGTGTTAGGTACAGCCACAGAAATAGGAATATGGAGTAAGACATATCCTCACCCTGAAAGGGCTTCCATTCTGGTAGGAAGAACTCGATAGATGTAAAAAAATGGACAAACTTTTTTTTTTTTTTTTTTTACACAGGGTCTTACACTGTCGCCTAGGCTAGAGTGCAGCGGCAGGATGCCTGCTCACTGCAACCTCCCCATCCCAGGTTCAAGCACTCTTCCTATCTCAGTCTCCCAAGTAGCTGAGACTACAGGAGTGCACCACCATGCCCAGCTAATGTTTGTATTTTTTTGTAGAGACAGGGTTTTGCCATGTTGCCCAGGCTGGTCTCAAATTTCTGGATTCAAACGATCCACCCACCTTGGCCTCCCAAAGTGCTGAGATTATAGGCATGAGCCACTGCACTTGGCCTGGGACGAATTAAAAAATAAAATAAGGGAGGCTGAGGCACAAGAATCGCTTGAACCCGGGAGGTGGGGATTGCAGTGAGCCAAGATACTGCCACTGCACTCCAGCCTGGGCGACAGAGCGAGACTCTGTCTCAAAAAAATAAATAAATAAAATAAAAGTGATAGGGGAGGGGCAGGCAGGGAAATGCTGGGTAGAGAAAGGCATGGTCCCTGGCTAGGGCTCCACCCCGGGCCTGTGCCCACAGACCTAGGTGAGGACAGGCATTTCTGTTTTTGTGCCCAAATGCTGCATTTCCCAAGACTACCCTGGCCCACCACACCCCCAATCTTGTGCCTATAAAAACCCCGAGACCCTAGCGCGCAGGCACACAAGTGGCTGGACGTCGAGAGGAACACACCGGCAGAAGAGCACACAAGCAGCTGGACGTCAAGAGAAGCAGAGGCGAGGAAGAACACACCAGCAGAAGAACACACTGACAGACGCCGGCAGGCCACCAACAGCAGAATGGCAGGACAACGCAGAGTTTGGCTGAGGGCGGTCGGAGGAGAGCCCGGCTGCTAAGCGGTCTGACTCCAGGGGAAAACCACCTTCCCACTCCATATCCCTTCTGGCTCTGTTTCCATCTGCTGAGAGCTACTCCCACCATTCAATAAAACCTTGCACTCATTCTCCAAGCCCACGTGTGATCCTATTTTTCTGGTATACTCAGGCAAGAACCCCAGGATACAGAAAGCCCTCTGTTCTTGCGATAAGGCAGAGGGTCTAATTGAGCTGATGAACACAAGCTGCCTACTGACAGCAAAACTAAAAGAGCACATGGTAACACATGCCCACTGGGGCTTCAGAAGCTGTAAACATCCACCCCTAGATGCTACCATGGGGTTGGAGCGCACACTCCCCAGAACCTGCCTGTCTGCCTGCTTCCTCTAGGGGTTTTCGGCAGTGGGGCACCTAAGAAGTGAGCCACACCCCCATCACATACCCTGTAAGAGGGACAAGGGAAATTTCCTCGTTTCAAAAGCATGAATTCTCCCTGCTCTTAGGCAGTTCTACAGAAAGACAAAACAAGCATAGGACATTACAGACAGAGGAATCAGCATGTGTGAAGCCATGAAGCTAGGAAACAGCATGGGAGAAACATAGGGAGTTGGAGTTTTGTGGGAGGGGACAGAGTGACAGAGACTCAGAGAAGCTGGTTGTAGCCAGATCACAATGCGACTCGTGTGGCTCACATGAAAGTCCTCGGTAATAAATACCAAAAGATCTCAAATAAGGATACAATATAGAATCGAGTTTGCCGTTTAGAAAGACACATTTCTCAGTGTGGTGGTTTAAGTCATTAAAGGGCCAGATGACCAGTTATGGTGCTGCTAAAACAATGCAGGAAAGAAATGAGGGCCCAAGGAAAGACTGCACAGGAGATGAGAAAGAGGGGAAAGTAGAATTGAGATAGTTTAATAGGCAGAATTAGCAGGACTTAGTGACCAAGGGGAAAGGAGGAGTGACAATGACCTTGGTTTCTTTTTCATTTTTCATTTATTTTTAAATTAATTTTTAAACTGACAAGAATTGTATATATTTATTGTGTACAACATGCTGTTTTGAAATATGTATACATTGTGGAATGGCTAAAATGAGCTAATTAACATATGCATTACCTCACAATTTTTGTGGAATCTAAAAATGTTGAACTAATGGAAGTAGACAGCACAGTGGTAGCTACCAGGGGCAGGGGCTGGGGGGAGTTGGGGAGATACGGGTCAAAAGTACAAAGTTTCAGTTAGACAGGACGAGTAGTTCAAGAGATCTGTTGTACAACGTGGTGACTACAGTTAATAACAACGTATTGTATTCTTGAAAATCAGGAAAAGAGTAGATTTTAAGTGACCTTGGAGTTTCTGATGAGTTTTTCTAGTTGGGTGGTGACACAGCATTCCTGAGAGAGGAAGTAGAAAAAGAGGGGCAAGTCTGAGGGAAAAATGATGAGTTGGTTTTGGACATGTTCCAGAGACAGAGAGACAGCTAGAGTCTAGTCATCTATCTATGTATCTTTTATTTTACTTGTAAAGCTAAAGTAGACAAACTTAGAAACTGTTGTATTTTGGAAATTAAGAAAAAGTTGACCTGAAATTTTAAGTCCATGAGAACATGTTTTTTGGGTCTGGACTTCCTCAGCACTTCAGGGGTGCATTTATTTCTCACAAAGCACAGTAAGGCTGGATGCGGTGGCTCACGCCTGTCATCCCAGCACTTTAGGAGGCCAAGGTGCGCGGATTACCTGAGGTCGGAGTTCGAGACCAGCCTGGCCAACATGATGAAACCCAGTCTCTACTAAAAATACAAAAATTAGCCAGGCATGGTGGCAGACGCCTATAATCCCAGCTACTCGGGAGGCTGAGGCAGGAGAATTGCTTGAAACTGGGAGGCGGGGGTTGCAGTGAGCTGAGATTGCGCCACTGCACTCCAGCATGGGCAAATATATACATATATATTATATATATTTCTCTCTATATATATATGTATATAACTATACATGTAACTATATATATATTACACTCTCTCTATATATTACTATATATATAGTACAGACAGGGTCTCATCATGTTACTCAAGCTGGTCTCGAACTCCTGAGCTCAAGCAATCCTCCCGCCTTGGCCTCCCAAAGTGCTGGGATTACAGGTGTGAGCCAACATGCTCAGCCTATCTTTGATTTTTAAATCTCAGCTCATTTACTTTAACATTTTATTGGATTCTTAATTATTAATTTCTACTTTACCTTCCCCTCTTATCTTACTTGTTTTTCTAGTTTTAATATTATTCTAGGCCTGCCTCCCTTTACTGCCTAAACTGTTTTCTTCTTCCTCTTCTCCTATTAGTTTTCCTCCCTAAGCCCACCCTGATACCCATCCCGCAGCAAGAATTGTGGCCACAAGGATGGTAGCACCAAAGAAAGCTGGCTCCTGCAGTGGCCTTCTCAGCTTCCAGCAGGCTCTCAACAGACAAGCAAACAAAACAAAGAAAAAGCAAACCTCAC